TACACCTGGGGGAGGGGAGATTAGTGAGGTATACACCTGGGGGAGGGGAGATTAGTGAAGTATACACCTGGGGGCGGGGAGATTAGTGAGGTATACACCTGGGGGAGGGGACATTAGTGAGGTATACACCTGGGGGAGGGGAGATTAGTGAGGTATACACCTGGGGGAGGGGATATTAGTGAGGTATACACCTGGGGGAGGGGAGATTAGTGAGGTATAAACCTGGGGGAGGGGACATTAGTGAGGTATACACCTGGGGGCGGGGAGATTAGTGAGGTATACACCTGGGGGAGGGGATATTAGTGAGGTATACACCTGGCCTGGGGGAGGGGAGATTAGTGAGGTATACACCTGGGGGAGGGGAGATTAGTGAGGTATACACCTGGGGGAGGGGAGATTAGTGAAGTATACACCTGGGGGCGGGGAGATTAGTGAGGTATACACCTGGGGGAGGGGACATTAGTGAGGTATACACCTGGGGGAGGGGAGATTAGTGAGGTATACACCTGGGGGAGGGGATATTAGTGAGGTATACACCTGGGGGAGGGGAGATTAGTGAGGTATAAACCTGGGGGAGGGGACATTAGTGAGGTATACACCTGGGGGCGGGGAGATTAGTGAGGTATACACCTGGGGGAGGGGATATTAGTGAGGTATACACCTGGCCTGGGGGAGGGGAGATTAGTGAGGTATACACCTGCACCTAGGGGAGGGGAGATTAGTGAGGTATACACCTGGGGGAGGGGAGATTAGTGAGGTATACACCTGGGGGAGGGGAGATTAGTGAGGTATACACCTGGGGAGGGGGATTAGTGAGGTATACACCTGGGGAGAGGGGAGATTAGTGAGGTATACACCTGGGGGAGGGGAGATTAGTGAGGTATACACCTGGGGGAGGGGAGATTAGTGAGGTATACACCTGGGGGAGGGGAGATTAGTGAGGTATACACCTGGGGGAGGGGAGATTAGTGAGGTATACACCTGGGGGAGGGGAGATTAGTGAGGTATACACCTGGGGAGGGGAGATTAGTGAGGTATACACCTGGGGAGAGGGGAGATTAGTGAGGTATACACCTGGGGGAGGGGAGATTAGTGAGGTATACACCTGGGGGAGGGGAGATTAGTGAGGTATACACCTGGGGGAGGGGAGATTAGTGAGGTATACACCTGGGGGAGGGGAGATTAGTGAGGTATACACCTGGGGGAGGGGAGATTAGTGAGGTATACACCTGGGGGAGGGGAGATTAGTGAGGTATACACCTGGGGGAGGGGAGATTAGTGAGGTATACACCTGGGGGAGGGGAGATTAGTGAGGTATACACCTGGGGGAGGGGAGATTAGTGAGGTATACACCTGGGGGAGGGGAGATTAGTGAGGTATACACCTGGGGGAGGGGAGATTAGTGAGGTATACACCTGGGGGCGGGGAGATTAGTGAGGTATACACCTGGGGGAGGGGACATTAGTGAGGTATACACCTGGGGGAGGGGAGATTAGTGAGGTATACACCTGGGGGAGGGGATATTAGTGAGGTATACACCTGGGGGAGGGGAGATTAGTGAGGTATAAACCTGGGGGAGGGGACATTAGTGAGGTATACACCTGGGGGCGGGGAGATTAGTGAGGTATACACCTGGGGGAGGGGATATTAGTGAGGTATACACCTGGCCTGGGGGAGGGGAGATTAGTGAGGTATACACCTGGGGGAGGGGAGATTAGTGAGGTATACACCTGGGGGAGGGGAGATTAGTGAAGTATACACCTGGGGGCGGGGAGATTAGTGAGGTATACACCTGGGGGAGGGGACATTAGTGAGGTATACACCTGGGGGAGGGGAGATTAGTGAGGTATACACCTGGGGGAGGGGATATTAGTGAGGTATACACCTGGGGGAGGGGAGATTAGTGAGGTATAAACCTGGGGGAGGGGACATTAGTGAGGTATACACCTGGGGGCGGGGAGATTAGTGAGGTATACACCTGGGGGAGGGGATATTAGTGAGGTATACACCTGGCCTGGGGGAGGGGAGATTAGTGAGGTATACACCTGCACCTAGGGGAGGGGAGATTAGTGAGGTATACACCTGGGGGAGGGGAGATTAGTGAGGTATACACCTGGGGGAGGGGAGATTAGTGAGGTATACACCTGGGGAGGGGGATTAGTGAGGTATACACCTGGGGAGAGGGGAGATTAGTGAGGTATACACCTGGGGGAGGGGAGATTAGTGAGGTATACACCTGGGGGAGGGGAGATTAGTGAGGTATACACCTGGGGGAGGGGAGATTAGTGAGGTATACACCTGGGGGAGGGGAGATTAGTGAGGTATACACCTGGGGGAGGGGAGATTAGTGAGGTATACACCTGGGGAGGGGAGATTAGTGAGGTATACACCTGGGGAGAGGGGAGATTAGTGAGGTATACACCTGGGGGAGGGGAGATTAGTGAGGTATACACCTGGGGGAGGGGAGATTAGTGAGGTATACACCTGGGGGAGGGGAGATTAGTGAGGTATACACCTGGGGGAGGGGAGATTAGTGAGGTATACACCTGGGGGAGGGGAGATTAGTGAGGTATACACCTGGGGGAGGGGAGATTAGTGAGGTATACACCTGGGGGAGGGGAGATTAGTGAGGTATACACCTGGGGGAGGGGAGATTAGTGAGGTATACACCTGGGGGAGGGGAGATTAGTGAGGTATACACCTGGGGGAGGGGAGATTAGTGAGGTATACACCTGGGGGAGGGGAGATTAGTGAGGTATACACCTGGGGAGGGGAGATTAGTGAGGTATACACCTGGGGAGAGGGGAGATTAGTGAGGTATACACCTGGGGGAGGGGAGATTAGTGAGGTATACACCTGGGGGAGGGGACATTAGTGAGGTATACACCTGGGGGAGGGGAGATTAGTGAGGTATACACCTGGGGGAGGGGATATTAGTGAGGTATACACCTGGGGGAGGGGAGATTAGTGAGGTATAAACCTGGGGGAGGGGACATTAGTGAGGTATACACCTGGGGGCGGGGAGATTAGTGAGGTATACACCTGGGGGAGGGGAGATTAGTGAGGTATACACCTGGGGGAGGGGAGATTAGTGAAGTATACACCTGGGGGCGGGGAGATTAGTGAGGTATACACCTGGGGGAGGGGACATTAGTGAGGTATACACCTGGGGGAGGGGAGATTAGTGAGGTATACACCTGGGGGAGGGGATATTAGTGAGGTATACACCTGGGGGAGGGGAGATTAGTGAGGTATAAACCTGGGGGAGGGGACATTAGTGAGGTATACACCTGGGGGCGGGGAGATTAGTGAGGTATACACCTGGGGGAGGGGATATTAGTGAGGTATACACCTGGCCTGGGGGAGGGGAGATTAGTGAGGTATACACCTGCACCTAGGGGAGGGGAGATTAGTGAGGTATACACCTGGGGGAGGGGAGATTAGTGAGGTATACACCTGGGGGAGGGGAGATTAGTGAGGTATACACCTGGGGGAGGGGAGATTAGTGAGGTATACACCTGGGGAGGGGGATTAGTGAGGTATACACCTGGGGGAGGGGAGATTAGTGAGGTATACACCTGGGGAGGGGAGATTAGTGAGGTATACACCTGGGGGAGGGGAGATTAGTGAGGTATACACCTGGGGGAGGGGACATTAGTGAGGTATACACCTGGGGGAGGGGAGATTAGTGAGGTATACACCTGAGGGAGATGTGAGATTAGTGAGGTATATGTGAGGTATACACCTTGGGGAGCTGGAGGGGAGATTAGTGAGGTATATGTGAGGTATACACCCGGGGGAGGGGAGATTAGTGAGGTATACACCTGGGGGAGGGGAGATTAGTGAGGTATACACCTGGGGGAGGGGAGATTAGTGAGGTATACACCTGGGGGAGGGGAGATTAGTGAGGTATACACCTGGGGGCGGGGAGATTAGTGAGGTATACACCTGGGGGAGGGGAGATTAGTGAAGTATACACCTGGGGGAGGGGAGATTAGTGAGGTATACACTTGGGGGAGGGGGAATTAGTGAGGTATACACCTGGGGGAGGGGAGATTAGTGAGGTATACACCTGGGGAGGGGGATTAGTGAGGTATACACCTGGGGGAGGGGAGATTAGTGAGGTATACACCTGGGGGAGGGGAGATTAGTGAGGTATACACCTGGGGGAAGGGAGATTAGTGAGGTATACACCTGGGGGAGGGGAGATTAGTGAGGTATACACCTGGGGGAGGGGAGATTAGTGAGGTATACACCTGGGGGAGGGGAGATTAGTGAGGTATACACCTGGGGGAGGGGAGATTAGTGAGGTATACACCTGGGGGAGGGGAGATTAGTGAGGTATACACCTGGGGGAGGGGACATTAGTGAGGTATACACCTGGGGGAGGGGAGATTAGTGAGGTATACACCTGAGGGAGATGTGAGATTAGTGAGGTATATGTGAGGTATACACCTTGGGGAGCTGGAGGGGAGATTAGTGAGGTATATGTGAGGTATACACCCGGGGGAGGGGAGATTAGTGAGGTATACACCTGGGGGAGGGGAGATTAGTGAGGTATACACCTGGGGGAGGGGAGATTAGTGAGGTATACACCTGGGGGAGGGGAGATTAGTGAGGTATACACCTGGGGGCGGGGAGATTAGTGAGGTATACACCTGGGGGAGGGGAGATTAGTGAAGTATACACCTGGGGGCGGGGAGATTAGTGAGGTATACACCTGGGGGAGGGGACATTAGTGAGGTATACACCTGGGGGAGGGGAGATTAGTGAGGTATACACCTGGGGGAGGGAGATTAGTGAGGTATACACCTGGGGGAGGGGAGATTAGTGAGGTATACACCTGGGGGAGGGGAGATTAGTGAGGTATACACCTGGGGGAGGGAAGATTAGTGAGATTAGTGAGGTATACACCTGGGGGCTGGGGGAGGGGAGATTAGTGAGGTATACACCTGGGGGAGGGGAGATTAGTTAGGTATAACTAAAGACTGAAAACTCACATCAGGTAGAGGAGGAGGAGTTTTCCTGATGAAAGTAGTGAGGAGATCTAGGACCTCAGTTCTCATGTCCTCCTCATCCTCCTCGCTCTGCTTCTTAGGAGAAGTAGCAGTGGGGGATCTTAGAATCTGGAGCAGGACGGGTACTACATTGTTCTGTATAGACCCTCTACATTCCGGTATTTCAGCTAGAGTTATCAGCACGTCATTAACCTGAGAGTAAGAGGGTTAGGGACCATATATAGGGGGGTAAAGGACCAGATATAGGGGGGTTAGGGACCATATATAGGGGGGTTAGGGACCAGATATAGGGGGGTTAGGGACCAGATATAGAGGGTTAGGGACCATATATAGGGGGGTTAGGGACCAGATATAGGGGGGTTAGGGACCAGATATAGGGGGGTTAGGGATCAGATATAGGGGGTTAGGGATCAGATATAGGGGGTTAGGGACCAGATATAGGGGGTTAGGGACCAGATATAGGAGGGTTAGGGACCAGATATAGGGGGGTTAGGGACCAGATATAGGGGGGTTAGGGACCAGATATAGGGGGTTAGGGACCAGATATAGGAGGGTTAGGGACCAGATATAGGAGGGTTAGGGACCAGATATAGGGGGTTAGGGATCAGATATAGGGGGTTAGGGACCAGATATAGGGGGTTAGGGACCAGATATAGGGGGTTAGGGACCAGATATAGGGGGTTAGGGACCAGATATAGGAGGGTTAGGGACCAGATATAGGGGGGTTAGGGACCAGATATAGGGGGGTTAGGGACCAGATATAGGGGGTTAGGGACCAGATATAGGGGGTTAGGGACTAGATAATAGATATAGGGGGTTAGGGACCAGATATAGGAGGGTTAGGGACCAGATATAGGGGGGTAAGGGACCAGATATAGGAGGTTAGGGACCAGATATAGGGGGTTAGGGACCAGATATAGGGGGGTAAGGGACCAGATATAGGAGGTTAGGGACCAGATATAGGGGGTTAGGGTTAGGGACCAGATATAGGGGGGTAAGGGATCAGATATAGGGGGTTAGGGACCAGATATAGGGGGTTAGGGACCAGATATAGGAGGGTTAGGGACCAGATATAGGGGGGTTAGGGACCAGATATAGGGGGGTTAGGGACCAGATATAGGGGGTTAGGGACCAGATATAGGGGGTTAGGGACTAGATAATAGATATAGGGGGTTAGGGACCAGATATAGGAGGGTTAGGGACCAGATATAGGGGGGTAAGGGACCAGATATAGGAGGTTAGGGACCAGATATAGGGGGTTAGGGACCAGATATAGGGGGGTAAGGGACCAGATATAGGAGGTTAGGGACCAGATATAGGGGGTTAGGGTTAGGGACCAGATATAGGGGGGTAAGGGACCAGATATAGGAGGTTAGGGACCAGATATAGGGGGGTTAGGGACCAGATATAGGGGGTTAGGGACCAGATATAGGGGGTTAGGGACCAGATATAGGGGGTTAGGGACCAGATATAGGGGGGTAAGGGACAGGATCAGATATAGGGGGTTAGGGACCAGATATAGGGGGTTAGGGACCAGACATAGGGGCCAGGGGGTTAGGGATGAAATATTATACTGAGAGGGAGTTAGGGAATATGGACCATATAAATGGTTTGTTGTGGAAAAAATTGAGTACTTTCAACCTGATTTAATTAATTGTTTAAGGTTCAACCTGATTTGATTAATTGTTTAAGTTGCAACCTGACTGACGACGAAAGTGTCACTAGCGTGTTTAACGAACAGCTCGACCAGGAACGTGTTGACTTTGTCTGCCTCTACAGCTACAATATCAGGTCTGAAGCCCACACTGACTCTGAGGGCGTCTAGACAGAGCATGAGGAGGTCACCCTCCATGTTACCTGCCAGGTCAAACAGAGAGGGGATTATAAGCTCCATTGACTTGTGCAATACCTGAAACAGTACATACTTGTTTGTACTTTTCTAAGTAAAGTTTGCAGTGGTGATATCAAATTCCCACTGAAATGCGAAACCGTATAATAAAAATGGCGGTGTAGAATAAAAAGTATTACCAGTTTCTCTTCTGGTTCAGTGAGCTCAGCACACATAGCGTAGACCCCCTTCATAGCACCTATCATAACTGCAGCAGGAGTGCCTGGTTTGAGAGCAGAGCAGGTGTGTTCTAACAGCGTGTTGAGTGACTCTTCCGAGGGGAGGCGCTTAATGTAACTCCCTGTCATCCATATCAGTCTCCCTCGTAGATAAGGCTTATCTACATTTAGTCCGGGCAACACAACCGTGTTGTAGAAAGCTCCAAAGTTGAAATCCACCTTCTTAGCCTCCAAACACTCTTCCACCACGTCTCCACTGATGTTCATGGCTGTTGCACACGCTTCATATAACTTCCAGTTATACCCCTCCGCGATATTCCCGCAGGAGGAGATGTGTCGCGTGATGGCGTTCATGAGCGCTTCTACGTAGGACGTCTTCAGTTCTGTAGCCAGATCCATAAGCAGCTCCATTGCTCCTGTTCTTACGGTGTAGTTCATGCTATCCTCGTCATCATCCTCCACGTACTTCTCTGGGTCTTCATTCCACAACTCCATCTAGCAGAGTTACCATAACGTTAACAATTACTGTACATTCCACAACTCCATCTAGCAGGTATACCATAACGTTAACAATTACTGTACAATCTAACTCCATCTAGCAGGTATACCATAACGTTAACAATTACTGTACAATCTAACTCCATCTAGCAGGTATACCATAACGTAACAATTACTGTACAATCTAAATTCTAGCAGGTATACCATAACGTTAACAATTACTGTACAATCTAACTCCATCTAGCAGGTATACCATAACGTTAACAATTACTGTACAATCTAACTCCATCTAGCAGGTATACCATAACGTTAACAATTACTGTACAATCTAACTCCATCTAGCAGGTATACCATAACGTTAACAATTACTGTACATTCCACAACTCCATCTAGCAGGTATACCATAACGTTAACAATTACTGTACAATCTAAATTCTAGCAGGTATACCATAACGTTAACAATTACTGTACAATCTAACTCCATCTAGCAGGTATACCATAACGTTAACAATTACTGTACAATCTAACTCCATCTAGCAGGTATACCATAACGTTAACAATTACTGTACATTCCACAACTCCATCTAGCGGGTATACCATAACGTTAACAATTACTGTACAATATAAATTCTAGCAGGTATACCATAACGTTAACAATTACTGTACAATATAAATTCTAGCAGGTATACCATAACGTTAACAATTACTGTACAATCTAACTCCATCTAGCAGGTATACCATAACGTTAACATTTACTGTACAATCTAAACTCCATCTAGCAGAGTTACCATAACGTTAACAATTACTGTACAATCTAACTCCATCTAGCAGTATACCATAACGTTAACAATTACTGTACAATCTAACTCCATCTAGCAGGTATACCTTAACGTTTAACAATTACTGTACAATCTAACTCCATCTTGCAGGTATACCATAACGTTAACAATTACTGTACATCTAACTCCATCTAGCAGGTATACCATAACGTTAACAATTACTGTACCAATCTAACTCCATCTAGCAGGTATACCATAACGTTAACAATTACTGTACAATCTAACTCCATCTAGCAGGTATACCATAACGTTAACAATTACTGTACAATCTAAATTCTAGCAGGTGTACCATAACGTTAACAATTACTGTACAATCTAACTCCATCTAGCAGAGTTACCATAACGTTAACAATTACTGTACAATCTAACTCCATCTAGCGGGTATACCATAACGTTAACAATTACTGTACAATCTAACTCCATCTAGCAGAGTTACCATAACGTTAACAATTACTGTACAATCTAACTCATCTAGCAGGTATACCATAACGTTAACAATACTGTACAATCTAACTCCATCTAGCAGGTATACCATAACGTTAACAATTACTGTACAATCTAACTCCATCTAGCAGGTATACCATAACGTTAACAATTACTGTACAATCTAACTCCATCTAGCAGGTATACCATAACGTAACAATTACTGTACAATCTAACTCCATCTAGCAGAGTTACCATAACGTTAACAATTACTGTACAATCTAACTCCATCTAGCAGAGTTACCATAACGTTAACAATTACTGTACAATCTAACTCCATCTAGCAGGTATACCATAACGTTAACAATTACTGTACAATCTAACTCCATCTAGCAGGTATACCATAACGTTAACAATTACTGTACAATCTAACTCCATCTAGCAGGTATACCATAACGTTAACAATTACTGTACAATCTAACTCCATTCTAGCAGGTATACCATAACGTAACAATTACTGTACAATCTAAATTCTAGCAGGTATACCATAACGTTAACAATTACTGTACAATCTAACTCCATCTAGCAGGTATACCATAACGTTAACAATTACTGTACAATCTAACTCCATCTAGCAGGTATACCATAACGTTAACAATTACTGTACAATCTAAATTCTCGCAGGTATACCATAACGTTAACCAATTACTGTACATTCCACAACTCCATCTAGCAGGTATACCATAACGTTAACAATTACTGTACAATCTAATTCTAGCAGGTATACCATAACGTTAACAATTACTGTACAATCTAACTCCATCTAGCAGGTATACCATATTATAAATAAATATCATTAAATACCGATACCTATTTTGAAATCGGAGGGAATAATAGGTATTTATAGGTATTTTACCAAAGATCGTCTAGGGCAGCTAAAAGTTACTTTTTGGACGTTTCAGAAGATTGTGAGCAACATTAATTTTTGAAATTATAGGTGAAAAATGAAAATTTCATTAAAAGATTTTTACTTGAGAATATTTTTAATTGTTGTTTTAATTGTTGTTCAAAATGTTCAGAAACTTCTATAATGAAGAGATAGAAAAGTAAATAACGGGGGGTAATACCTGGTATTCAGGTATAGACAGGTAGGTGATGGGATAGAAAAGTAAATAACGGGGTAATACCTGGTATTCAGGTATAGACAGGTAGGTGATGAGATAGAAAAGAACGTCAGGTAACACTTTCCTTATCATAGCCTTGTATTTCTTACGTTCCGTTAAAGCCTGTATAAACTCGAATATAGCCTGTACCAGACTCCCGACCCCATCTCAGATCCGTCACTATCCACCTGAACATGTGAATAGTTTAGGGATTAGATATAGAGGGTATCAAATGTCAATAGTTTAAGATTTTAGGAGAAGGCTATAGTGAAACCAAAAGCAATTGAAGTGAAAATGTAAAATAGCTAACATCGTCCTCTACATAGTCAGGGTTGTTTACAACTGTAGTGATGTGATTCTCTGCATTCTTGGTGAGAAGGGTCCACAGCACTGGGAGAGCACTCGATACCTGTTAGAAAGTTGGTTGATATTTGACCAATTTATGGGCCAAAATCGATCAAATTTGGTGAGTATGCCCAAATATGGGCATATAGTTTTTAGCTCATAACTCAGTCCAATCTTAATGAAAATTCATATTTAGGACGCAATGAAACTACCGGACCACGATGTATGGGGACTTGCCACCCCATGGCAACATTAAAATATATCGACTCAGTTACATCGTGATGTACGAGTTTAGGGGCACCACTAGCCCTTAAAGGGGGGGGGGGGGGGGGGGGGGGGGGGGGGGACAATAGAGCATACTCACTACTAGATAGTACTCACCTTATCTCCCATCTGTTTAGGGAAAGTTTGTACGAGTTTAGATAGGAAGTTAACACACTCAGTCTGTAGTTTGTAATCCTGTCTGACAGAAACAGTAGCTCCTATCAGGGATATAGTGGTGTCCACCAGACCTGGCAGTATGGGGAACAGTAGGTTCTCATTAGCAGCGTGGTCCACTGTGTCCATGTGGCTGATTATTAGAGTGGTAAACACTCCGAATATGGAGAGGACGCGCGCACGTGTAGCTGGCCCGAACGTCTCCGTTTGGAAGAGTTGGATAAGCCGGGGGAAGAGGACTGGGGCCACTGTGTACACCTGAAGAGTTAATAGTACTTAACCATCTGAGGTACCGAGAATGATAGATTGAGGAGAATTACAAGTACTCGGCAATAAACAACACTACCTACCGAAGTACGCTCTCGCTAGATATAGGCCCGAAAGCAAGTCAAAGAGATTTATACAGAGTGTATAAACCCAAACTTATGATATTACAAGTAGTACATTATAATACACACAGCGTGGTTCACATTACCTGACTGTCAGTAATGTCACTAGCCAGTTCAGAGAGAACCTTCATAACTCCATGCACTTGGTTAGGATCCCCAGTTCCCATCATACTCAGCAGCTGGTCAAAACAGACCCCGTCCAGTTGTCCGGGAAATCTACACAAGCTATCTCTGATACTACAGCTGCCACAGAGCTCCTGAAACCAAAACTCAGTCATTAACCTCGTTACTATATCACATTACATACCAAAATACTCATGGCACCCGGCCCCCCCCCCCCCCCCATATCAGGGCAGCATACGCCCCCCCCCCCCCCCCCCCCCCCGCAGATATACGCATCAGGGCAGCATGTGTCCCCCCAGTATCAAGGCAGCATGTGTCCCCCCCGGGGGGGGGGGGGGGGGGTTTAATGACTACCAATGGGGGGATGCAACGTCAATAATGTCATTAATGTCAATTAATGTCAATTAATGTCAATTAATGTCAATTAATGTCAATGTCAGTTTTGCAAAATTTTGGAATACTGACATTAATTGACACGATATTTTTCGACCAGAGATTATGTAGTTCTACCATATTTTTAGCACTTTAGAACGTTTATATCATCAATATTATTCACTACTATCTCATACTGGAAATGTGAAATGTGAAAAAATTCAGATCATTAAACAAATAAAAACTAAAATAATACGGTTTTTCCGAAATTTAATTTCTTCTTAATGGGCGTGGCCATCCAAGGCCAAGGGCGTGGTATCAACATCATCAGAACTTTAAAACCACATTAAACGAAACGGCCTTCATGACATTTATATTTGAATAAAACAACGAATCTTAAACAGCTAACATTACTCCTTCATACTAAAAAAAGCCGATTCTAGATATTTTACCTGTATAAGAAACCAATAAAATATGGGCGTGGCCGGTGGGGACCGAGATGGAAGAGTTCAAAGCTGAAATTTTTTTTGGTGGTCTTTGAACCTAAGGATCAACAGATAAGAACATACTCATACTATTCAAGGACATTTTGTTTTTTTGAAACCGGTCTAACTTACATAGACGTGAATATCTTGAATATTTATCGAATAATGATAATCTCAAATTTCAAGACAAATTAATGTCAATTAATGTCAATTAATGTCAATTAATGTCAATTAATGTCATTTAATGTCTAAGTCAGTTTGGTGGTTTTTTTATGGAATACTGACATTAATTGACGTCCTGCATCCCCCCCCCCCCCCCCCCCCCCCCTACCAATGGAGACTTTTGGGGACTAATGGGGACTAAAAAATCATGGGGACTAGAGGTCAACTGTTGACGTAATTCACCATTTGTCCCCATAATTTTTGACAGTTATTTTATGGTTTTCAAGTTAGTTTAATAACGATACGATCGAGATGTTTTGTCCAAGATTAGAGTAGGATAAATACTAAATGGGACTAATGGAGACTTTTGGGGACTAATGGGGACTAAAAATTCATCTAAATGGGGACTAATGGAGACTTTTGGGGACTAATAATCATGGGGACTCGGGGTAAATCGTTGACGTAATTCCCAAGTCCCAAAAGTAGTCATTACCACCCCCCCCCCCCCCCCCCCCCCCCCCCCCCCCCCGTCCCCCCCCCAGCATGTCCCCCCCCCAGATATCAGGGCAGCATGTGCCCCCCCCATATATCAGGGCAGCATGTGTCACACGCCCCCAGTATCGGGGCAGTGCCTTTCCCCCCCCCCCCCCCCCCCCCCCCCCCCCCCACCCCCCCCCCCCCAAAATCCGGGCGATGTTCACACCCACGTTACTTTTTTGGTTCAACACAGTGACAATGCATTTCCGTGGTTACTGGGTAGTTCTGAGAAATCTCTAACCGATTTTACAAGGAACCCCCCAAACCCCCCCCCCCCCCCCCCCCCCCCCCCGATATACTGACAATCATGGATAGTATGTGGCAACTCCTCTAACCCGATTTTACTAAACCCCCCCCCCCTCCCCCCTGTATATGGATAGTATGTGAGCAATCCTTAACCTGATTTTCTAAGGCTGTCACCCCCCCCAGATATACTGACAATGTATTCCAGTGGATAGTATCTAACCTGATTTTACTAAGGCTGTCACCCCCCCCCCCCGTATCTGACAATGTATTCCCGGGATAGTATCTAAACCCGATTTTTTCTAAGGCTATCCCCAGACCTGGGAGAATGTTATTCTTGAGACCTCTTTTGTAGCTGTGTGTGGACAGTCCTGCCAGGAAGCTATCTGCAAACTGTTTGAGTAGTACACCTGCCATCTGACGCACTGATAGAAGGGCGTCTGAAGTTATCTAGTATAAATGAGATGTTTTGAGAAGGAACAAATTTCAATTGTCTTAAGATATATTTCCCTTGACGAGATTAGAAAAATAAAGAAATACAAAAACTGACTAACCTGTCGGAGTAGAATTGACAGAAGGCTGGTGGCATAGTCTGGATGCGGTTTGAAGACATTGAGTTGCTCCTGGGCTGCATCTTGTTCACTTTTATTAGCCGAGAGGGCCTGAGATATGAGGGGAGCTATTTGCTCAACAGACATGCTGCTACTGAAATGTATAAAGGTCAGGTGACATGCTGCTACTGAAATGTATAAAGGCCAGGTGACATGCTGCTACTGAAATGTATAAAGGTCAGGTGACATGCTGCTACTGAAATGTATAAAGGTCAGGTGACATGCTACTACTGAAATGTATAAAGGTCAGGTGACATGCTGCTACTGAAATGTATAAAGGTCAGTTGACGTGCTGCTACCGAAATGTATAAAGGTCAGGTGACATGCTGCTACTGAAATGTATAAAGGCCAGGTGACATGCTGCTACTGAAATGTATAAAGGTCAGGTGACATGCTGCTACTGAAATGTATAAAGGTCAGGTGACATGCTACTACTGAAAATGTATAAAAGGTCAGGTGACATGCTGCTACTGAAATGTATAATAGGTCAGTTGACGTGCTGCTACCGAAATGTATAAAGGTCAGGTGGTCATGCTGCTACTGAAATGTTATAAGGTCAGGTGGACATGCTGCTACTGAAATGTATAGAGGTCAGGTACATGCTGCTACTGAAATGTATTAAGGTCAGGTGACATGCTGCTACTGAAATTGTATAAGGTCAGGTGCCATGCTGCTACTGAAATGTAAAAGGCCAGGTGACAGGTTGAGGCCGAATTTAGTGCTGATCAGAGCTTATGAGTAATTGCATTCCACAGTTTCAAATT